TGTTCAAATTTAATCCTGCCCAAATTTTGTAATGAAACTTGGGCATTTTGAAGGGTTATGAAAAGGAACAACATATGCACAAATGTTCTGAGTGATTCACCCTTTAAGTGTGTCTAATATTTGATGTGAAGTGTTGATGCTATCAACCCACATAATTTTTTGAAAAATCATGTGATGTGCATATATAGAGATTCCTCTTTAAGAGGATTACCACTGAAAAACTGAAATGCTCCTAACAGCTACTACTGTGAAAATCTGGAGAGGTATCACCTAAGAATATCCAAAAGCCTCAATTCGTATAGATCCCTGAGACTTTAGCTTTCATGTCAATGATTTAAAAACCTGAAAAGAGCAAAACACTGCCTTTTGTATTTGCTAAATAATACACAGACATTCTTACATCTCCTCTCTTCTTATTACTCCCATACATTGTTACAAGAACAGAATATAGCATAGGCACTCAGCATTTGTGTTTCCTGATAAACACAGATTTCCACAAAAATATAATAACAATTTTAGAGGGAGGACACTTGTGAGTTCCTACTATCTGTTAAATACTGTTCTCATTTAAGGGACATAAAATGAAATACATGTAAAATTAATTTTGTGACCTGAATTTATAACAATATTTCCTTTTATTTTTAAAGAATATATTGCCAAGCTAAATTACTAAATGTAAGAAGGTGCATTAACAATCTGGCTTAAGGTAGTTGTTCATGCCCCATTAAACTTACCCCAACATTTTCCAAAACGAGTTCTCCATATGGTTCAGCTGTGTATTTTCCTAACGAGTTAGTTAAAAGAACATTGCCTTTTTTCCAGTGAATTGCTGGTGTGGGGATTCCATCAGCTACGCATGGCAGAATGGCTTGTGAGTTCTCATTGGCTGTGTAGTGTACTTCCGTACTTCGGATCCTGGGTGGTACTAGGAAAAGATGAAACGATAATCATCCAGGAAGCCGAGTTCAATAATATCTTTATTCGCATTGAAAATTAACAAAAAGACTCTTTCAAGGGAAATTTTGCTAGAAATAATAAAAGAACTATTAAGATATTGATTTGTTTGCTGCTATGAAAGTAATCAATATCTTTGATGCTAGCAAGAATTCTAATGTATTCGAACTTTCTGAATATATTTACATTCCATTTCTGAGCAAATGACTTAGAACTGGGTTGAAAATCTTTACATTTTATTTGGCTTCTTGACTTTTCCATACTTCAGTTTCATCCACTTATTGTAGTGAAGTGAAACAAACAAACTAACTAACAATCAACAAAGACCAAAAATGCTTCAATGGTTGTATAACTGCTGGATTTGTCTCACAGATATATTATGAGGATGAACTAGTAATAGTTATCATAAAACACTGTAAAACAC